AGAAACCATCCATGCAAAAACTGATCGCGTTTTGTATAACCATCATATGATTTAAGGAACTGGACATTTGTTTAATCCGCTTTGAATTATACTATGATAAAAGATATGGAAATTATGGGGTCTCCAACGCGCAATTTAAATGACAAATAATTCATATTACTTTAAAAACAAGTAAAAAAATTAAATTCGGCCGGGCAGAATTATTACTATCATCCATCTGAGGGTACAAGAAACATTTTTATATAAAAGTATCTAAATTCAAGCGTGTTTCACTTTAAACTTCATATACCAGAAAGAGTGTTTATGGGAGCCGAAAATGTATATGGGAGCTATATCCAAATCTGAACCGATTTCAATATAATTTGGGAAATCAATTTTTTAGAAAAAAACCATCACATGTTTCAAATTTCATTGAAATATTGTTCCACATTTGGAGACTGTATCTCTAATCGATCAATTGAAATGTGCAGACAAAATCTAAATTTTTGGGATATATTGTTACGCATTCCACATTTGGAGACTGTATCTGTAATCGATGAATTGAAATGTGCAGACAAAATCTAAATTTTTGGGAGGTACCTCCGAGTTTGATGCTATAACTCCACTTCGAAGTGCAATTTCAAAAACGTATATAGCCTATGTTACTTTCAGGCGATGTTGTAGTAGTAGTAGTGTTGTAGTATACATGTACATTTTCAGGAAAATCTGTTCAGCGGTTTTCGAGTCCAGAAATTCCAAACAAACAAACATTTTCCTCTTATATATATATATATATATATATATATATCTATATCTATAAAAGAGGAAAATGTTTGTATGTTTGTTTGTTTGTTTGTTTGTTTGTTTGTTTGTTTGTAATTTATGGACTCGAAAACCGCTGAATAGATTTTCCTGAAAATTTCCATGTATACTGCAACATCGCCTGAAAGTAACATAGGCTATATACATTCTTGAATTCCCACTTGGAACTGGAGATATAGCATCAGAATCGGAGGTACCTCCCAAAAATTTAGATTTTATATGCACATATCTACTGATTTGTTGAAGGTACAGTCTCCAAATTTGGAATACGTAACGGAATTTGGAACAAAATAAGTTTGCCAAATTATATTGTAATCGGTTCAGATTTGGATATAGCTCCCATATATATTTTCGACCGATTTTTTTCATTTGATGCCTCAAACACAATATGAATGTTCGATTCCAATGAAATTTGGAATGTGTGACGGGATTTAATCCGGAAATAAATTTGTCAAATTATATTGAAATCGGTTCAGATTTGGATATAGCTCCCAGATATATTTTCGGCCGATTTCAAGCATTTGATGCACCAAACACGCTATGTATCCCCAATTTCAATGAAATTTGAAACGTGTGATAGATTTTATCTAAAAAATTGATTTCCCAAATTATATTGAAATCGGTTCAGATTTGGATATAGCTCCCATATACATTTTCGGCCGATTTCATGTATTTGGTGGACCAAACACGATATGTATTTCCAATTGTAATGAAATTTAAAATAAGTAACGGAATTGGGAGCCAAAATTAATTTGTCAAATTAAATTGAAATCGGTTCAGATTTGGATATAGCTCTCATATATATTTTCGGCCGATTTCATGTATTATATGCACCTTACACGATATGTATGTTCGATTCCAAAGAAATTTGGAATATGTAACGGGATTTTGATTAGAATATACATTAGTCAAATTATATTAAAATCGATTCAGATTTGGATATAGCTCCCATATATATTTTCCGCCGATTTCACATATTTGATGCACAAAACACGATACGTATTTCCGATTCCAATGAAATTCGGCATGAGTGGCTAAATTTGGTACAAAAATAAATTTGACTAATTATATTCAAATACGCTCAGATTTGATTATAGCTCCCATATATATATACTCAGCCGATTTCACATATTTGATGCACCCAAAGCGAGAGAGACAAAATTTGGCACCAGAAAAAATTGCCAAATTATATTGATCAGTTGAGGTTTGAATATAGTTAGCACATATATTTCGGCCGATTTCATACATTTTATGCACCAAACATGATATATATGACCGATACCAATGAAATTCAGAATGTGTGGCGGAATTTGGTTACAATAATAAATGTGACAAATTAATTGGAAATTAGTTATGATTTCACATATTGGACGCACCAATTTCAATGAAATATGAAAGGTGTGGCGGAGTTTGGTGTAAAAGTATTTTTTTAAATTATATTTAAATCGGATCAGATTGGGACATGATTTTAATAAGAACCATTGACCCACAACGCCTAAGGCTAACACTAAAAAACAACACAAAAATTGATTTGAAATACGCTTATTACGGCGAAGTATGTTGCTATCTCGAATTCACTAATTGCAATAGAAATGACACTCAAATTCAAAAGATTGCAGTTTACTGCACGCTTGGTATTTGCTATGAAATAAATAAATCCGAAAGACAAACCCTTCGTGTATGTATGTCATGTTACTGCTTTTCGAATGGTTTTGGTTATTTACGCATTAAAATGGTGCAATATTTTTTTTAATTTTTTTTTTTTTTTTTTTTTAACCAACATATATTCGTAAATAAAATTTTGAATGCATATAAAATCAAAAGGGGTAGCGAAGCGCACCGGGTTCAGCTAGTATATATATATACTAGCTGTCCCACACCGCGTTTTTAAAGCATAATATTTCACACATCTGGCTCAATTTTTAGTATAAATGATTACTCGACTAAAGAACAATAAATATCCATTTCAAAAATGTCAATATAGTTTCACGTACCGGGCGATTTATAGTGTTTAAAAAAACCTGATCCTATTTTCCAGCCAGAGGTTTTAATTTGAGAGTTAGAAACCCAATTAATATAGCACATTTATTAAACAGTATACATCAACTGTTTATAATAGTCCCATGTAAGATGGTTCTCTATCAAAGTAGCCTAAACACACATTTTAAGCCAAATCGATTCGAAAACATAACCAAAACCCTCAAAATAGGTAAAAACAGGAGGAACCTTTATATGAACGATACTCCAAAACATTGACAAAACATTGAGGTGATCTAGAATGTGACCAAGACCCTGGAAATAGTTGAAATTAGCGGATGCCTTCATATAAGGTTTATACCAAAGCTTGGTCCTATACTTATAATTATTTAAAAGAATGTTTTGTTCTTTCTAAAATCTCAAATAACCAACATTTAAGGAATTTAAAAAGGGCTATATAACAATGCAGACCAACCTGAAACATATTTTGCACAAATGATTATACGCATATTACATTGCCTCTTCATATTCGGTATTTCACTGATTGCAGTCCCAATGACTTTTGCATTGGATGGATTATTTCGATATCTAGTCACTTTTTTTGGAGTTTCCGACCTCAGGATCGATAGTAATTTTTAAATAGAAATCGTGGAAATATGACTTTAATTTAACTATCATAAATAAATTTTTTGATCCTTCTAGAAGTAATTGAACACTTTGTTATGGTAACCATATAACGGCATGTACACAAAATATGCAACATTTCTCGGGTTTTTTCAATAAGAATTTTCAGTTCCAATAGGCATTCTGAAACAGTTCTACACAAAATTCCATATCCAAATAGAACAGTTAATACAGCTCTGCATTTTTTCTAGAGATTTTTCTCAAAATTTTCTTTCTTGAAAACATTTTCAGCGTAATTACAAATAACCGAAAAAATATGAGGGCCTACATCGTATTTCAGCTGGAAGATGCGAACCCATTTAAACAAACAAAAATGACCGAAAAAGCCTAATGGGGCTCTTCTCAAAGCGTGGACCTACTTCTTTCATGTGACAATAATCCGTCCAATGAGAGCTCAAAATGCAAATTCTTCGGGAGTACAATCAGTAAAATACCAAATTTAAAGGGTGCAAAATAGTAGAGCTAATGGAACTTTTAGTAAGAAAAGGATTTCTATCTTTCCAGAAATTCTTCCCAAACATTTAAGATACCTTAAATCGCTTTTGCAGGTCATGAAATCGATCATAACTCACGGGTAAGGGTACAACCCGATCTCATATTTATATAACCATCGTATGATTTAAGCTATTTTTGGGATCTTGGCCACTTTTTTCATTTTTTGGCCTTTATTTGGCATCTTTGTTTCGAAGTGTGTAGAGAACTTCTTCGCATTAAATTTGAAATTTTCACAGTAGGGCCCATATTGGTCTTAACCACATTCATCAATTGATTTGGCTAAAAAATTTGTATTTATGCTACCCTGGGTTAGGGAACCACATAGGAATTTATTTAAGTAAAGTCCCTATGTTTCAATGGGGAAATGTTTCAAATTTGGTATAACGGTACCTCCCAAACTTCAGTATTTTGATCATACTTATGTTCCTAAATAAAATCTGGTACGGTGTCTAAATAATATTTGAATTAACTGAATGATCAATTGCTGTAATACAGAACTACAATATGTAAGTACAAAGAAAAATGAAAGAGAATGTATAAGAAATTATGGAGAAAACAATTCGCCAATGAATGAATTTAATATTAGACACACAGTCGTCGACTTGCATTCGTCGCGTACAGTCATTCGATCGCTTCATCTGTGTTCAAATTTTTTTCATTAGAGTTCTCTCAGTGTCACTCAATTTTAACACCTTCTTATTAGTATCTTTTTTCTTACATTTACTGTTGAGCCATTAATAAAAAATATAAGTTTGCGTTTTTATTAAGGTGCATTATGCCCCCCGGGCCCCCCAATTTAGGGGACAATCAATTTGATATTTTAGCAGAGAGTCCCCAAAAAAAAGAAAAAAAACATGAAAGAGGAATCCCATTAGAATTCCCAATTCTCCCTACCAAATCAGCTCCAAACCCAAGGTATGTTGTAGTGTCTGCTTTAGATCAAACAAAACAGTTGACAGAGTACTCATGTTTTGCTATCCAAAAAGCATTTGACATAATAACAAAAGAAATTATTTCTATTTCACTCCTGAGAGATGGTAGCTTGTTGTTGTTGGTGAAAGATAAAATAATTGCAAACAAAATTGTAAGTACTAAAGAATTGACTGGTGTATGCAAAATAAAATCTGAACTACACCAACAACTCAATGTCACTAGAGGCACCATTTACGCTCCATATCTCAACAATGTCCCTGAAAAAGAGATCATTACTGAACTCTCTGATCAGGGTGTTGTTGACGTTTATAAATATGAGAAATTAGTGGATGGAAAGAGAATTAAAACAGGAGTGATTCATGTCACTTTCGATCTCTATAACATGCCAGTAAAATTACAAATTGCGTATCACTCAGCCTTCGTAAAAGAGCACTACCCGAACCCCATGAGATGTAAACAATGTCAATTGTTAGGGCACACAGGAAAACGATGCAAAAATCCACCATTATGTGCAAATTGCAGTTTGCCCCCTCACTCTCCAAATTATTGCACACGCATTCTCTGTGCCAATTGCAACGAGAACCATCCATCGTCATCAAACAGTTGCAAATTATACAAGCAACAAAAAGAAATTTTAAAACTAAAAACAATAAACAAATGTTCGATGAAAGAAGCATTGCGTTTGTATGAAAACCAACCAACAACAGACATTCTTTCTAACACCTTCTCTAATGTAGTGGCTGGAAATGAAATAAACAAATTATCAACAAATAAAACAACAACAAATACATCGACTACGTCAATTATAGAAACTACTCCAAAAGCACAAATCAATAACTTATTAAAAACTCCAACAACAAACCTACCATCACTGCCTCTCAATCAACAACAACTCCCAACCCAACAAATAATATTTGAAGAACAACAATAACAACAACCACAAATACCATAAGCAAACCTTCGAATCTTACTCGTAATAATTCAAACCCAAAAATAAAAATAAACAAACCTCTGTCAACTACAGCGAGTACCACTAACTGTACTAAAAACGTTTCAATAAGTAACCTCAACACCACAAAATTACAACAAAAACCAAATGCACTTATTAATGAGCCACCGTCAACATCTGGTTTCTCTTTACCGAAACAGAGACAAAATTCAATTTAAAATATCCACAACGCAATAACAGCAATGGACACAAATACCGATCATTCATCTGATGAATAATCTTCATTATAATCTCTTATGGGATTGGAAATTTTGCAGTGGAACATCAGAGGATACTGTAATAACTTACTTTCGGATACTGATGCTGATATTGTTTGTTTGCAAGAAACAAAATGCAAACAAAGTCATACACCATGTACTCCAAAAAAATATATTGGTTACTTCTTCAATAGATACAATTCTTCTAAGGAAGGAGTTGCCATACTTATCAAAAAAAGTATTCCTCACCAAATTATCAATTCCACCTCTCCACTGTGTTGTACCTCTGTTCAAATTAATCTTTCCATTCGTTTTACTATTCTATCTCTCTACCTTCCACCACAGGAAACAATACATCCTTCAATGCTTGACTCTCTTATCACCAACATATTACCCCCTGTTCTTATCCTGGGGGATCTAAATGCCTGGATTAGTCTCCCAGCTAACAATTTTTTCCGAGGGCTCTGATGTCCGATTTTTTGTCGAGATTTTCAGACGTTTCTTCAGAAAAGTTTCCGAGTAATCTGCACATACTCGTTTCTTTTGTTTTGTTTGAACAAAACAAAGCAAAAGAGAAAAAAACATCGTATACAGAGAGTTAACTCTTTTTTGGCGAGAATTTCTAATGTTACTCCAGAAAAGTTTCCGAGTAATCTGCACATACTCGTTTCTTTTGTTTTGAAAAAAAAAACACAAAAATTCTGACATTAGCAGAGAGTTAACTTTTTTCTGTTGAGATTTATTTTACCGTTCCTTTCGAAAAGTTTCCGAGTACTCTGCACATGCTCGGTTGAAATTATTTGAAGAATTTTGTGTATACAACTTTTTTGTTTTTTTTGATTATGATCAGTTTGTCGTCAGAATTTGTACGGAGCACGAGTGCAGTGTGTTGCAGTGAAAAGTTAAAATGAAAATTAAAGGAAGATTTGGACCTTCAGTACCTTATGGTAAGTAAGCACCTTTCTACAATTACTACTTTTATTAATATCTTGAATTGTTTAGCTACGCCGTTTAAAAAATCAACGCCATGACTTTTACATATGAAAATTTTAGACTTATTTTTCAAACTGGCGAGGTCAACGTTTTCGTGGCACGAAATGTACCAAAATACAGCTGTAAAGGACATCTAATTTATTAGGCTCGTTAAAGGTTTGTATCCTTGTGTTTTAAATGCTTTGATAATATAAATAATATTTTTTTCATTTTTATTACTTAGATGCGGCATTGGAACATATTCCGGAAACTATGGGAAGTGCCATATAAACCCATATAAAACATTTCTTCAAATCGGCTAAAGATAGGCTTAACAAACCTTAACCTGGGCCAAAATCGAACTCAGTCAACCTTAAACTCCTTTGTTCATCTGAGAATAAGCCAGCTGATGACTTGAGCCAGCCAAATATGCGCTTCATATATTTTCACCCTTAATTATATTGATTTACATTGAATTGCAACTTTTTATGTTTTTTATATATTAATTTCCGTATTCCTTATATTTTACAAAAAAAAAAAAAACTGAATACAAATGTTCTGTCATTAAATTGAAAAATACAAACATAAACAATTATCTAAAAACTAGATAAAGTTTTATTATTTCTTTATGTTTTTCGATTACAACTATAAAATAAATGTAGATTTTTTTGCGAATTTCGTATCAAACATCCTATTATTTTCCGATTTTCGAATGAATTATTCGAATTTTTCCCGATTTTCGGATAAAACTATAGAATAAATTCAGATTTTTTTCCGAATTTCGAATCAAACATCCGAAAATTTTCAGAATTTCGTATCAAACATCCTATTATTTTCCGATTTTCGAATGAATTATTCGAATTTTTCCCGATTTTCGGATAAAACTATAGAATAAATTCAGATTTTTTTCCGAATTTCGAATCAAACATCCGAAAATTTTCAGAATTTCGTATCAAACATCCTATTATTTTCCGATTTTCGAATGAATTATTCGAATTTTTCCCGATTTTCGGATAAAACTATAGAATAAATTCAGATTTTTTTCCGAATTTCGTATCAAACATGCGAAATTTTTCCGAATTTCGTATCAAACATCCTATATTTCTCCGAATTTTCCTTTTTTCTTTGCCGAATTCTATACGAATTTGCCCCGAAACTCTTACGTTCTTTCAGAATTTTTTCCGCAAAATCTTTCAGAATCTTGGGCAATCTCACACAATTTTTTTCCGATTTCTTTCCGAATTCGACATCAGAGTCGGAAACTTGTGCAGAGTTTTTTTCCGAATTCGGAAGAAAATCGGAAAAAAATGTTTGCTGGGCTCTGGGGCTCTCCCAAATCAAATAATAGGGGTATTACAGTTGAAGCCTTTATTGATAATTCCAATATGACAGTTTTAATTGATGGTTCCCCAACTCACCTTAGCACACATGATACATTTACCCATATAGATGTTGCTATTGTATCCATAACATTATTTCCAAAATGCTCATGACACACAGTAGATGATCTTTACAATAGCGATCATTTTCCTTCAGTGATAACTTTAAATATTAACACCAATTCTTCTGGGGCTTCTAAACCTAAATATATAAAAGATAGAGCTGATTGGATTAAATTTCGGAATAATATATCTTCAGTAGAAGCCAATTTTTCTCAATCTAAACATACAAATAAAGAATCAGCCCAAATTAGGAAAATTATTCGCATTGCAGCAAACAACTGCATCCCCCAAACCAAAAACATTATTAGAAAGAAAAATGTACCACGGTGGTGCAAAGAACTCCAAATTCTTCGAAATGAAAAACAAAATGCGTTAAAAATCTTCCGACGCAATATAAGTAGAGAACATCTTCTAGACTATAAGAGAAAAAATTCCATTTTTAATAGAGCTAAAAGCATAGCAAAGACGAACGCCTTCCAACGTTTCACGTCAACAATCTCCCCAGCAGTTTCATCATCTTTTCTATGGGGTAAAATTCGGTTGCTTACAGGAAACTGGAAGCCAAGCCAAATTAAATCATTAGACACTTATGGTGCAAAAATTACAGACTCAAATACTATAGCTACAACATTTGCACAACATTGGTCCTCAAATTCCAGTGATTCAAACTTTTCCGCAGAATTCTGCAGAAACAAAACAGAATTACTGCAATTAGCACTTTCACCAACTCATTATTCGTCAAAATCAAGATGTTTGGAAGAAGGACTCACTTTTCAAGAACTATTATATAGTCTGAAGACTTCAAAAGGCAAAACACCAGGTTTAGATATAATTTTTTGAGTTTTGCCTTGTTAAGGCGAAGATCATATGTTTTATGATTTATGTGTTTGTTTTTCTCTTTCGAGACGAGCTTAATGATCTGAAATTTGCAGTGAAAAGGAAAGCCAGATAGACACTATCACACACTCAGCTAGTTAAGCGGCTCATCAGGCATATTTGGTGTGGGATGATGGCTTACAAGGGCCGTTCTCTGGAAAGTAGTATATATTTCGAACTTATTGCAAATTAGCATATGCGAATTATACACTAGAAACTCTCCAGGTTCGACTCAAGTTCTATTGGCAGATCTTTTTCACAGCAAAGTTTTATTTTTGTAGTGATGGATTTTTTGTCCACAACAACTACATTGCTTCCAATGATCAAAAATACACCATTTTCTTTCCAAAAACGTATTTTAGAACATTTTAACGATATTTATTCCTCAGGCATTATACCACAATTTTACAAATCGACATCGGTATTGCCAATTCCAAAACCAAACAAACCCAGTAATCAAATTGAATCTTACAGACCAATATCCCTTTTACCATGCCTGAGTAAACTTCTTCAAAAAATAATCTCTAAACGCCTTTTGTGGTACATAAATAAACATAAACTTATATCTCACAATCAAGTTGGGTTTCAACCAGGCCTTAGTACAATGGATGCCCTACTACTGATTGACCACATCATCCAAAAGAATCGATCCACAAGAAGGTACACTTCAATTCTTTCCATTGATTTCATTAAAGCTTTCGATAGAATCGGCATACACATAATACTTCGAAAATTTGTGGACTGGAAAATTGGTCCCAAAATGTACAATTTTATTAAATCTTTTCTCACCAATAGAAAATTCTCAGTATTATTAAATAATATTCACTCCGAGACAGTATCGCTGCACAATGGTATCCCACAGGGATCTCCATTGTCAGTTACACTATTTATAATAGCATTTGATGAGTTAAGTCAAATTTTGTCTTCAAATAAACAAATCGTACATTGTATATATGCAGATGATCTTTATATCATAGCAAAGCCCCAAAACAATTTAGACATTAGTCAAATATTTTCAGAAACTCTACAACAAATTGATAGTTGGTCCAATAAATCAGGTTCCAACATTTCCTATGAGAAAACAGTTCATCTGCATATATGCAATAAAAGAAATTGTAGCCCAATAAATATACATTACAATAATCATACAATTCTAAATACCGATGTATGTAAGATTTTATCTAAAACTAAACTTACAAAGTAGGCTTAACATTGTAAAATATGTATCAACTAAAAAGAGTCATGTTCACACCAACGCACTGTTGAGAGTTGTTAATGCTGTTATATTATCCAAAATCGAGTACGGGCTTATTTTCTACATAAATGCACCAAAAACCTGTATGTCTCCTATAGAAAGAATATTTCACAATACTATAAGATGCAGTCTTCGCGCATTTAGAACAACACCCATAACTAATCTAATGGCTGAAGCAGGCTTCGAGAAATAACATAAATACGCCCATAATCTACAAGCTCAATTGGTACATAAGGTGTTATGTTCTCAAGGTGGAATTCTATCATACGAACTATCTTTACTGCGCAAAAGAAAGCCCGAACTAAAACGTCCATCTGTTTTATGCAATATTATCGACATCAGTATTGCCAATTCCAAAACCAAACAAACCCAGTAATCAAATTGAATCTTACAGACCAATATCCCTTTTACCATGCCTGAGTAAACTTCTTGAAAAAATAATCTCTAAACGCCTTTTGTGGTACATAAATAAACATAAACTTATATCTCACAATCAAGTTGGCTTTCAACCAGGCCTTAGTACAATGGATGCCCTACTACTGACTGACCACATCATCCAAAAGAATCGATCCACAAGAAGGTACACTTCAATTCTTTCCATTGATTTCATTAAAGCTTTCGATAGAATCGGCATACACATAATACTTCGAAAATTTGTGGACTGGAAAATTGGTCCCAAAATGTACAATTTTATTAAATCTTTTCTCACCAATAGAAAATTCTCAGTATTATTAAATAATATTCACTCCGAAACAGTATCGCTGCACAATGGTATCCCACAGGGATCTCCATTGTCAGTTACACTATTTATAATAGCATTTGATGAGTTAAGTCAAATGTTGTCTTCAAATAAACAAATCGTACATTGTATATATGCAGATGATCTTTACATCATAGCAAAGCCCCAAAACAATTTAGACATTAGTCAAATATTTTCAGAAACTCTACAACAAATTGATAGTTGGTCCAATAAGTCAGGTTCCAACATTTCCTATGAGAAAACAGTTCATCTGCATATATGCAATAAAAGAAATTGTAGCCCAATAAATATACATTACAATAATCATACAATTCTAAATACCGATGTATGTAAGATTTTATCTAAAACTAAACTTACAAAGTAGGCTTAATATTGTAAAATATTTATCAACTAAAAAGAGTCATGTTCACACCAATGCACTGTTGAGAGTTGTTAATGCTGTTATATTATCCAAAATCGAGTACGGGATTATTTTCTACATAAATGCACCAAAAACCTGTATGTCTCCTATAGAAAGAATATTTCACAATACTATAAGATGCAGTCTTCGCGCATTTAGAACAACACCCATAACTAATCTAATGGCTGAAGCAGGCTTAGAGAAATAACATAAATACGCCCATAATCTACAAGCTCAATTGGTACATAAGGTGTTATGTTCTCAAGGTGGAATTCTATCATACGAACTATCTTTACTGCGCAAAAGAAAGCCCAAACTAAAACGTCCATTTGTTTTATGCAATATTTATAAGATAGCTACGAATTTAAATCTATTTCAATACAAAGCTCCAAACCAATTACATGCTCCATTGAATTTGAGCAAAAATATCTACGAAGGTTCATTAATATGCTATCCAAAAACCACTACAAATTCCCAGGTATTTACAACATTATCAAATCAAATATTTGACGAGCATAAAAAGTCTGGTTGGAAAATCTTATTTACTGACGGCTCTAAAACTGATCATAATACCACATTTGCAGTAGTAACTGAAGATGGTTCCATACAAACTTCTGGACTTCTTCCCCAACATGGTACAGTTTTTGATGCAGAATCTATTGCTGTATTAAAAGCTGCAGAGTTGTGCAGAAATCAACACAGTAAAACTCTTATATGTACTGACAGTCGCTCCGTATATACATCTTGTCTCAATTTCTGGAACAAAAACGAAATTAAACATCAATCCAACAGGAATTTATAACGATGAAATCTAAAATAAAACTTATGTGGGTTCCTAGCCATGTTGGGATTTTTGGAAACGAGCTAGCAGACTCTGCTGCCAAATCAATAGGTAGCTCAGTACCAACCTTTACATTTATACCTTTTACGAAAAAATATGTAATAAATGTTGCAGTTCAATATTGCAAAAAAGAAGCCGGAAATGTTTGGAATGAATATAACCACATCTACAAATTATTTAATCCGCACAAAATACCATTGGTACTACCTTCGACGACATCAATACACCAAAACAAATATTTCACCCGCTTAAGACTGACTCACTGTAATCTTACACATAAACATCTTTTTAATAATGAGTTCCCATCCAACACTAAGTACTTATTTGGCGGCTGAGGAACTATCCACGCCTGCTTTTTAATTTAAATATATCTATCTATATATATAAAAGAAAGATGTGTTAGTTACTACGCTTATAACTTAAGAACCGCTGGACTGATTTTAACGATTCATACAAATTCGGAATTGTCTCTTAGCCGAAAAGGACAAAATCGCAATAAAAACTCGACCATTTGAACATTTTCATTTTAATTTTTGAAATGTTCAATCGTAATGTTTTATTTAGTATGATTTTTTCCATTTTGATTTACTTTTTTCGAATGTACATTTGTAGTGTTTTTTTTTTATATTTTATTTCTGAATTCGAATATTAATACCAATTTATTTAATTGACGTGATTTCTTGAGAAACGAAATTAAAGGCGAGTTACATTGAAGTGTAGAATAGAAGTGAATATTTTT